CCGCAGCCTCAACCTGCTGGGCTCTGGCGGTCTTTCCGCCTCAGCCTTCCATGTAGCTGGAACTACAGGCGCACGCTACCACGCCCGGCTAATTTTTGATTTATTGTAGAGATGAGGTCTCGTCGAGTTGCCCAGGTGGGTCTCGAACCCGTGGGCTCAGGCAATCCACTCACCCCAGCCTCCCAAAGGTGCGGGATTACAGGCTGAGCCACCGAGCCCGAAAAAGCTTCTTTAAAGTGGTTTTTGTTTTTTAAAATGCTGAAAGATTTTTTTTTTTTTTTTTTTTTTTGAGTTGGAGTCTCACTCTGTCACCTAGGTTGAAGTGCAGTGGCATGCTCACGGCCACCACAGCCTCAACTTACTGGACTCAGGTGATCCTTCTGCCTAAGCCTTCTAAGTAACTGAAACTATAGGCATGCACCACCATGCTCAGTTAATTTTTTGATTTATTTTAGAGTTGAGGTCTCACCAAGTTGCCTAGGCTGGTCTTGAACCCATGGGCCCAGGCAATCCTCTCACCTTGGTCTCCCAAAGTGCTGGGAATATAGGCTTGAGCTACTGTGCCCAACCTGAAAGATTTTTTTGAAGAGTTAAAAACTCAGGCTAGAAGCAAAGAAAGAATTGTGTAATCATAAGCAATTCCTTCTTTTTTTTTTTTTTTTTTGAGTGGGAGTCTCACTCTGTCACCTGGGCTGGAGTGCAGTGGCACACTCACAGCCACTGTAGTCTTGACCTGCAGTGCTCAGGAGATCCTTCCGCTTTAGCCTAACAAGTAGCTAGATCTACAGGCATGTGTCACCACATCCAGCTAGTTTTTTGATTTGTCATAGAGACAAGGTCTGGCCATGCTGCCCAGGCTGGTCTTGAACCTGGAGGCAATCCTCTCGCCTCCGCCTCCCAAAGTGCTGGGATTATAGACGTGAACCACCACATCTGGCTCATGAGAAATTCTCAATTTAATTTTTACTACATTAAAAATCAACTTGTTAAACTAATACATTTAATGTGGACAAAGAATGTGATTAATTTTATCTGTATTTCTACAAAAATTAATCACATCAAGCTTGCAGTTTTATTAACTGTCAAGGCTGTTTTTTAGTATGTTAAATTATAGATTTTCAGTGTGTTTATTCCATGTGAATAAATTTAAACTTTCAGTGTGTTTATTCAGTGTGAATAAACTGTGCTTATTCATTGAAAAGTTTATTAAAAATGTGCTTTTGTAGTTATGACATATACTGAAATTTTTTGTTATATGTTTTGGGAAATATTGCTCACCTTCTACCTTGGCAATTCAAGAGATATTACATGATAATTATATTTACCTTCTTTGTAAAGGTTAAATATACAGAGGTAGAGAATAAAATAGTGGTTACCAGGGACAGGTGGGGGGTAAGAAGTGAGGGGAGAGGAAATGGGAAGCTGAAGGTCAAAGGATACGAAGAAATAGATACATTAGATCAACAAGTCTTGAGATCTAATGAATGACATGGGGACTATAATTAATACAATTATATTGTATTAAGGTTTTTGTTAAATAAGTAGATATTAGCAGCTCTTATAACAAAAAAACTAAGGTTAGCTGGACATGGTGGCTTAGACCTATAATCCCAGTGACCCTAGAGGCTGAAGCAGGAAGATTGCTTGAGCACAGCAGTTTGAGGTTGCAGTGAGCTATGATCATACCACTGCGTTCCATCTGGGCGACAGAGCTAGACCCTGTCTCTTTAAGAAAAAAAAGAAATGTTAATATGTTTTACTGTAATAATGATTTTATTGTCTACATATATCCCATAATATATTGCAAACCTCAAGTATACGCAATACAACTTTTTTTTTTTAATGTGTCATCTTTGTATTCCTCAGAGGAGTATTGGGCAACTCTGCAGGAACCTGTTTTCAGCAAACTGGTCCAAATGTTTAAAAGAGCCATCATCTCTAAACTGCATCATTGGACTGAGACTGCTGAGAATAATTGTCATGTGAAAGCTCTCCTACAAATGTTGAAGAAGCTATACAGAGTAAGAGTTCATTTAGAAATCTCTATGTTTTCATCTGGTAATAAAAATTCCCTTGCTTTCAACTGGCCTGAGTCTTAAGCAGACTCATATGAGATATATTACGTTTATATTTCTCTTTTTTTATTTTGCATTTTTTTAAGGTATTAGATTCAAGGGGGACTCAACCCCTCCTATTTTGTTACATGGGTGTGCCATGTGATGGTGAGATTTCAGCTTCTATCAAACTTGTCTCATCCAGGTAGTAGTGAACATGGTACCTGATAGATAGTTCTTCAACCCTTGTCCTCCTAAAGGACTCCCAGTTTAAGAGTCCCTACTGTGTGTTGTGCCCATCTTTCTGTCTGTATATAACCAGTGTTTAGTTCCCACTTATAAATGAGAACATGCAGTATTTGGTTTTTGGTTTCTGCGTTAATTTGCTTAGAATAACGGCTTCCAGCTACATCCACGTTACTGCAAAGGACATGATTTCATTATTTTTTATGGCTGCACAGTATTCCATAATGTGTATGTACCAACTTTTCTTTATATACTCCACCATTATTGGGTACCTAGGTTGTTCTGTGTTTCTGCTGTTGTGAATAATATTGCATATGTATGCAACTGTCTTTTTGGTAAAATGATTTATGTCCATTTGGGTATATACCGTGTGGTGGCATTGCTGCATTGAATGGTAAATCTGTTTTTATGTCTTTGAGAAACTCCAAACTGCTTTCCACAGGGGCTGAACTAGCTTCCATTCGTACCATTGGTGTATGAGCAGTCCTTTTTCTCCACAGCCTCACCAACAGCCTAAGTTGTTTTTGACTTATTAATCATAACCATTCTGACTGGCATGAGATGGTATCTCATTGTGGTTTTGATTTACATTTCTCTGATGATAAGTGATGTTGAACACTTTTTCATTTTTATTGCCCACTTGTGCATCTTCTTTTGAGAAATGTCTGTTCATTTTCTTTGTCCACTTTTTAATAATTATTTTAAAAGTGTGGAGTACAAATGAGGGTTAGGTACATACATGGTCATCATACAGGTAAATTGTGGGTATGCTTATTGATGTTATGTGCTCCCTCCACCCCAGCAGTGTCCCACTACTGCCAATCCCTTTCTTATAGTTTTATGATAAATGTTCAGGGTCCACTTATGAGTGAGTACATGATACTCAGATCTTTGTTTCTGTGATAAATTACTGAGTATCCCTTTGCCCACTTATTTTTTTTTTTTTGAGTTGGAGTCTCACTCTGTCACCCAGACTGGAGTGCAGTGGCCGCTTCCGGCCACCGCAGCCTCGCCTGCTGGGCTCCTGCGATCCTTCCACCTCAGCCTTCCGAGTAGCCGGAATTACAGGCATGCGCTACCACGCCCAGCTGATTTTTTGATTTATTGTAGAGATGAGGTCTCGCTGCCCAGGCGGGTCTCGAACCCGCAGGCTCAGGCAATCCACTCACCTCAGCCTCCCAAAGGCGCGGGATTACAGGCTGAGCCACCGAGCCCGGCTCCTTTGCCCACTTTTTAATGGGGTTGTTGGTTTTTCTTCTCCATTCGCTTAAGTTACTTACAGATTCTGGATGTTAGCCTTATACTGGATGCATAGTTTGCAAATATTTTCTTCCATTTTGTAGGTTGTCTATTTACTCTGCTGATAGTGCCTTTTGCTCTGCAGAAGCTCTGTAGCTTAATTAGGTCCCACTTGTCAATTTTTTTCTGCTGCATTTGCTTTTGAGTACTTGGACATAAATTTGTTGCCTAGGCCATGTCCAAATGAGTGTTACCTAGGTTTTCTTCTAAGATTTTTATAGTGTGAGGTCTTATATTTAATTCTTTAATCCATCTGGAGTTACTTTTTATATATGGAGAGGTAGGAGTGCAGATTCATTCTTCTGTATATGGTTAGCCAGTTTTCCCAGCATCATTTGTTGAGTAAGGTGTCCTTTCCCCAATATTTTTTTATCGACTTTGTCAATGATCAGGTAGTTGTAGATGATTACATAGTTTTAGGTGAATGACTTTATTTCTGAGTTTTCTCTTCTGTTCCATTGGTCTGTGTGTCTATCTTTGTACCATTGCCATGCTGTTTTGGTTATTGTAGCTTTATAGCAAAATTTAAAGTCAGGTAATGTGATGCCTCTGGCTTTGTTCTTTTGCTTAGGCTTGCTTTGACTATTTGGACTCTTTTTTTGCTTTCAATATGATTTTAAGAATTGTTTTTTCTAGTTCTGTGAAAAATGATGCTGGTATTTTGAGAGGATTACATTGAATTTATAATTGCTTTGGGCATTTTAGTGACACCGATTCTTCCAATCCATGAGCATGAGATGTTTTTCCACTGGTTTTGTGCCATCTTTGATTTCTTTCATCAGTGTTTTATAATTCTTGTTGTAGAGATATTTCACCTTTTGGTTACATATATTCACAGGTGTGTGTGTGTGTGTGAGAGAGAGAGAGAGAGAGAGAGATTGGAGGAGACTGTTGTAAATGGGATTGTGTTCTTGATTTGGTTTTCACCTTGAATGTTGTTGGTGTGTAGTTTTTGGGTTTTTGAATGTTGGTTACATATGCTAAGACTCTACTGAAGTTGCTTATCAGGTCTAGGAGTCTTTTGCTGGTGTCTTCAGGGTTTTCCAAATATAGAATACTATTCTGTGAAGAGGGGTGATCTGACTTCCTCTTTTCCTATTTTAATACCTTTTGTTTTTTTCACTTGCCTCATTTATCTGGCTAGGACTTTCAGTATTATGCTGAATAAGAGTGGTGAGAGTGGATGGACGTCATTGTCTTGTTCCAATTTTTAACAGGAATGTTTCCACCTTTTCCCCGTTCAGTATAATGTTGCCTAGGTTTGTCATAGATGATTCTTATTATTTTGAGGTATGTCCTTCAATTCCTGGGTGGTTTAGGGTTTTTATCTTAACGGGAGTTTACATTTTATCAAATGCTTTTTTGCATTTATTGAGATTATTGTGTAGTTTTCGTTTAGTTGTGTTTATGTAATGGATCACATTTATTGATTTAGATATGTTGACCCAACCTTGCATTCCAGGAATAAAGCCCACCCAATTGTGGTGAATGATCTTTGTCATGTGCTGCTGGATATGGTCTGCTAGTATTTTTTTTTTTTTTTTTGAGTTGGAGTCTCACTCTGTCGCCCAGACTGGAGTGCAGTGGCCGCTCCTGGCCACCGCAGCCTCAACCTGCTGGGCTCCAGTGATCATTCCGCCTCAGCCTTCCGAGTAGCTGGAATTACAGGCATGCGCTACCACGCCCAGCTGATTTTTTGATTTATTGTAGAGATGAGGTCTCGCTGCCCAGGAAGGTCTTGAACCCGTGGGCTCAGGCAATCCACTCACCTTAGCTTCCCAAAGGCGTGGGATTACAGACTGAGCCACCAAGCCCGGCTCGGTCTGCTAATATCTTACTGACAATTTCTGTGTCCGTGTGCATCCAGAGATAAATCAGTTGATAGTTTTCTTTTTTTATTATGTCTTTGCCAGATTTTTGTGTCAGGATAATACTGGTTTTGTATAATGAGTTAGGGAGGAGTTCCTCCTGAATTTTTTGGAATAGTTACAGTAGGATTGATACCAGCTCTTATTTGTATGTCTGGTAGAACGTGGCTGCAAATCCATTCAGACCAGGACTTTTTTTGGTTGGTAGGTTTTTAATCACTGACTAAATTTTGTGACTCATTGGTGGTCTAACAGTTTGTTCCTGTTTCAGTCTTGGGAGGTTGTATGTTTTCAGGAATTCATTCATTTCCTTTAGATTTTCTGATGTGCATGCATATAAATGCCTACTGTAATTATGAGAGTCTCTTATTTCTGTGGGATTGGTTATAATGTTGCCTTTTAAAATTTTTCTTTCTTTTTTCTTTTCTTTTTTTTTTTGAGTCAGAGTCTCACTCTGTTGCCCAGGCTGGAGAACAGTGGCACACTTACAGCAACCACACCCTCGACCTGCTGCACTCAAGCAATCCTTCTGCCTCAGCTTTCCAAGTAGCTGAAACTACAGATATATGCCACCATGCATGGCTAATTTTTGATTTACTGTAGAGATGAGGTCTTGCCAAGTTGCCCAGGCTATTTTTTGTTCAGGCAGTCCTCTTGCTTCCACCTCCCAAAGTACTGGGATCACAGGTGTGAGCCACTGCGCCTGGCCCCTTTTTTGTTTTTAATTATACTTATTTGAATCGAGTTTTCTCTCTGTTTTTGTTGTTAATCTGGCCAGTGGTCTATCAATCTAGTTTATCCTTTCAAAGAGCCAGATTTTCATTTTGTTGATGCTTTGTATGTTTTGGGGGGTTCAGGTTCTGCTCTACTTTTGGTTATTTCTTTTCTTCTACAAGCTTTGGTCTTCTTTCTTCTTTTTCTAGTTTGAGATTTTTGTTTCTTCTTAGTATGGGTGTGTAGTGTTACAGTCTTTCCTCTTAGCACTGATTTTGTGGCTTCCCAGATGTTTTGGTATGTTGTGTATTTGTGTGTGTATGTGTGAGAGAGACACACACACACACACACACACACACACACAGTCTTGCTCTGTCGCTCATGCTGGAGTATAGTTGTGCAGTTATGGCTCACTGCAGCCTTAACTTCCTGAGCTCAAGCATTCCTCCTGTCTCAGCCTACCAAGTAGCTAGGGCTGCAGGTACAAGCCGCCACTCTTGACTGATTTTTAAATTTTTTTGTAGAGATGGGATCTTGCTGTGTTGCCCAGGTTGGTCTTGAACTCCTGACCTAAAACAAGCCTCCTGCCTCAGGCTCCCAATGTTGTGTCTTTATTTTCATTTGTATCACAGAATTTTTATTTCTCTCTTGGTTTTGTTTTTTACTCAAAAAATCATTCTGGAGCAAGTTGTTCTCATTTCCATGTATTTATGTGACTTTGAGGATTTCTTCTTGGCATTCACTTCTATTTTTATTTTACTATAGTCAGAGAAGGTGCTTGGTATGATTTTGTTTCTTTGGGATTTTTTTCATATATGCTTTATGACCAAGCATTTGGTT